GTGAGCCACCGCGCCAGGCCAAGACTGACTCTTAAGCCGTGGTGTCCTCCTTCGAGATTAGCAGAGCATTGGCTGATTCCTCAGAGTGCACAAATTGAATGTGGCTAGAAAGGAGGAAAATGAAAGCACAATTGTGGCACCTAACCTGGGGTTTTCAAAGTGAATTATGTTTATAATCATTTACCATCTAACAAAGATTTATTCAGGGCCTATTATGCAGTACCGATGGGGGAATGAAGATGACCCAGTGGCTGTCATTAGGAAATCCACAGATCATGAGGGAGGACAGACTGCGTGTTAGGGCTGCTCATTTGTGAGCAGAGATGGGAGGTCGCCAGGCTAGGATGGCAGTGATGTCTGAGCTGAGTTTAAAGGATGATTAGGAAGTGGTCAGCTTTGAACGGGTATTCCACTGCAGGGGTGGGGGTGGGGGGAAAGGTGGCAAAGGCCGAGAGGTCAAAAAACCACATGGAGCCTATGAGGAAGCAGCTGGTAGTTTGGAGTTCTTGGAGATGAAGGGCTGAGACACGGAGGGACCAGAGAAGAGACTGGGATGGTAGGTGGGCTCTTTGGTCAGAACCAGGGGCTCAGCATTTCTCTGCTAGGGCATGGTGACATTTGGCCGGGGACTGCGTGGAGAATGGATTGGGTAGTAAGAGACCGGAGGTTGGGTTCTAGTGAGGAGGCTGGCACTGAGAGCCGGGCAAATGTGAGAAGACCATCGTGGGAGTATGGAGGAGGGGGAGGGATGGATTCAGCAAACAGGGGAATCTTTAGGGTCCTTGAGTTGCAAGCAACAGAAACTATCTCTGGCTAACAGCTAAAGCAAATCAGAGAATGTAGTAGCAGTATTGATGGAAACTCACAGGATTGAGGGCGTGCCTGAAGAGCCAGGCTTGGCACAGGCTGGAAGTAGGCAGTGCAGGGCATCTTGGTGGCAGGAGTTAGTTGCCTTATGGTCTCTCCCTGGTGATACTATGGAAGTAAATGATCTCCAAGCTTTTCCATCATTATTATTATTGTATTATTCTGCTGCTTTCAAAATGTGCAGAGGACACATATGAATGGCATGGCTTTGGATCCCCGTATCTGGGGGTAGTTTTCCAAAAGGCCATCTGGGTGGGGAGAGGTCGTTTTCTGAAAGGAAACTGGAATGATCCTGCCAAAAGACAGCGACATAGATACTGGGCGTGTCCTCCATAGGAGAGAAAACTGGCAGGACTTATTGATTGGTGTGGGAGTAGGAGAAAGGGAAAAGTATGGTGTCACCACTGGGTTTCTGGTTTAGGTAACAGGACGCGGAAGCAACGTCAAAGTCTGGCCAAGACTAAATAACTGGTGTGTTTTCCCACTGGCAGGGCTGTGGGCAGCTCTCTGTGACCAGGCTGTAGGAGAAGGTGATGACCTATTTTTAAAAAGTCTCATTAAGGGTCTGTGCTGCTGTGAATGAGACCTGTTTAATTAGGTTACTTTATTTCATGCCACACCAATCTGGATACTTGGAAACACTTTCATTCATGCAACCAATGTATGTTGAGTATCTCTGGTTCAAGTACTGGGGAAAATGGTGACTTAGAGATGTTCCTCTCATATTCTAGTGATGTAAGACA